CTTAGTATGCCAATGAAAGGATAAGAAGAACAGGTCTTTTTCGCAATGTCGATAGTCCCCCTCCGAATGGCTTTTCTTCTGCTAGGTCGCTTCTGAGTGTTTCATGTGTCCTCCTAATCTGAGACACATGCAAGATGTTTGACCCACAGGGCCAGGGCAGGCCACAAGTCCCCAAGTGGTTGAGACAAAACTGAGGTCCCAGCGCTTTGAGGCCCTCGACCCTGCGGTCTTGTTCTATTTCTTCTCTGTATCGCTTCATGCCTGTGGAAGTTTGGGTAGTCTGGGTAGTGGATGAAGCCTGGCAAGCTGTGGACTTCTTGCATTTACACTTCCACATACTGTACATGTATATACAACATTCATGCACATACATCAGCATCTTGGTCGCTTTCCTGCGAGGCAGATGATATGCCCTACGTCCAACTTTCTGAACGATTCCGACAGGAACTCCTTCCGGAGCTCTCCAGGGCGGTGGCTAGGACTCAAGGAACAGCTTGGAACAGCTTATCATATGCCTTGAGATTGTTTGAGGTGTTTAGCGGTATTTGTATGTCAGAAATAAAATTAAGCTCAAGGATGGAGTCCTGAACAGTAATGTAGATGGCATAACGAAGTGCATTGAAGTTCTTTGGAGACACTGCAACAAGGATGTTTGGATGTGCTCAATTCCAGCCGTGTGGTGCCAGCTGCTGTGGGATGCTGCAAAAGACATTCAAGCCTCCAACATCCCACCCAAAGCAATTTTTGCTTATTTAGGACGGACCATGTGGGGCTGTGTGCTATGTTGAGCTTTTGGGGTGTTGGGTGCTTTCATATTGAAAGCGTTGCTTCCTTTCTCCGCTAGGCCTTCCGCTGCTGCAGTATGTGAATGTGGATGAGCGGGAGAGCTTTTTGACTGCTTTCGTGGAGATGGCACAGAATGACCGGAACATCGTGGCTGCCAACAACGCCTACCTGGCTGAGGAAGTGGCATGGCAGGTTGGGCTGAAGATTCCAACTCTGCGGATTCATGGGCTGCATACCAATGCCACCTATTTGCCTCTACGAGCATCGGAGGTGCATAGGTAAAATTTTGTGACGCTTGTGGTAGTTCTGTATGACAATTTCTGATGGTTTTGCAATTTTGGATGGAGGTGCTGGTGTCACGACCTGGGACAAGCGGTGGATGGCAGGAGTGTGTCTTGAACCGCTTCGTGGACACCAATCCCGGCTATCCTTTGCGCTTCGTGCAATTTACCAATCTTCTGATTCTTTGCTCAGGAGAAGTATATTCTTTCCAGTTTGTTCCTTTATTTCTGAAGGCTGCTGGTTTTGGAGATTTCTGACTATTGCGCACAATTATATACACTGACACCACTTCAGTAGTGTCTTGTTTCCTGTTTCCTTAAGCTATATCAATTGAGCCGGCCACTCAACCTGATACTGGAAATAGTGGAGGAAGATCATTTTGCAAATCCTTTGGTCAGTGTGATTTATACAGAGCAGTTGTGATCTAGAGTCCTTGAATCATGTATTTCCTGTTTTGTGGCACGATCAAGGAATCCACATACCACAGAAGAGGCTGGCTGGAATACTGGTTCAGAAGTGCAGAAGTTTCATTTTGTTTGATTAGTATATTGCACCTTGCCAACTGCTGGAAGGTTTACAATAACTCCTTGTCATATCAAGCTTTATCTCAATTCCGTGCCGTTGTTGGTAGCTCAGTTTGTGGGGGTGCATGATACTTAGTGCTTGTTTCTTTTTTGCACGTTATATGATTTCTGGAATGATGACTGAGGTAGGTTTTCCGTATGACACATCTTTGATGTTTTTCTGGGAGTTCTACTCCATGAACATGCCCATGTTTGTAGGGAGCTCAGGTGCATTTTTTGGAGACCTACCTACCTGCTGTAAGTGCCCCAATAAAAATGGTCCAGGTGCCATTTGATTTGTGGCATTGGGGAATCTTTGGCTTTGACCTCAGGGTTTTCGATCTAAACGGCTCAGCTGTTTGGCATGTTTCCTTTGAGGTTTCTTTTCTTACTTTCCTTTGTCTGGGATATTTTCTTGAACGTGAGGTCAGCATACGCGCCCGGATTTGGAACAACCCAGAATATTCCCAGAGCCAGGCGAAGCGGGCGGTTGTCGCCAAAGCGGTGCTGAGGGGCGGTTCCCCTGCAAGCTATACAACCTCTAACAGATTGGTTTGCTAGAGGTGTTGAAGGCACCCGTTCAAGTTTTGTTGCCTTTGCGCCACGATCCAAGCCGTTTTTTGACAGGAATCCTATCGAAGCTCCTGCCCGAAGAGGCTTGGTCCTACAAAGACATGTTTCACATTTGTTGACCCTTCATCATTTCACCCCCACAAATATGTTAGAGTCTGTTTCAGCTTGGAGTTTGAGAGGATCGGTTGCCCTACTCTCCATACTTTGATGGCTTCGGCCCACTGGATGTGGAGCGCGGCGCTCTGGAGACTGTTACTCCACCATTTCACCGGATCGGATGCTGGTGTGCAACGCTGAGGCGATCGATTTTTTGGTCAAAATATACTGACTGGGCCATGTTCCCTCATGTGCAGTACTTTACGTCGGGCGCCCCAATGCTCCAGTCAGTTGGGTGGGGGGGAGCATTTTCGGAAGTCACAGGCCGGACAAACAGTCGCCTGATTTTTGTGTTTGTTTTTTCCAAAGTGGGCGCTATATTATATGTTGGACGGTTTGGAGTTCCGGGGCAACATTTTCGGAACATGGGCTCATCTTGGGGAGCAGCTTGGCTCAAGTTGGCCTGGCCCAAGTTGGTCTCAACTCGACTGCCCGAACGTGCTTAAAGCTCACAGTTTTTGATATGTTTGTTTAAAACATGTTTTGACACAGTTGCATGAAGTCGGCTACATTGGACTTCGTGGGGCTGCATTTTCTGGACATGGGCTTGTTTGGGGAGGTGATTTGGCCCAACTTCGTCCCAAGTTAACCGCGGAAAAACGTGCAAAAAGCCCGCAGTTTTTGATGTCTTTTCACAGTTTTGGGCCCCAACTTGGCCCAAATTGGTCCCCACTTTAGCCCAACTTGGGGCCACCGTGGTGCCAACATTGTCCTGATTCTTCTTCTTCTTCTTCTTCCGGCTCTTTCTTCTTCTTTCTGCTATATACTTCTTTCTATTCTTCGCTTTGCTTCTTCTCTCATGTCCAGCCTAAATAGAGATCCCCAAATTTTGGCGCAATATGGGCCCAACATGATGCAACGTGGGTGTGTTTCGGTTCAACTTGGACGCAAACTTGTGCGTAAAACCTTGCCATCAACTTGGCCTGAGCGTTTGCAACCTTTCGCGCCAAGGCGGGCCTCAAGAGCGCGACGACTCTGCTCAACCAACGCCTAACTCCTCTACCCAATGCTGTGCATCTGGCAGCGGAAGGTGGCCCAAGAACCTGGGCCAAGCTGTTGGGTAACAAAGAACCGCGCCCTTTAGGCAAGCCGTCCACCTGCACGTACACACTCGACTCTCAACTGTTGTCAAGTTGTCTCAACTGTTGCAACACAGTACTTATATATAACTATATAATAGAAAGCAACTCAGAACTACATGGCTTCGTGCCATTTCACTTTTGGACCACGGCGGACGTTCGAGCGGTGTGGCACGCCAAGGCTTTACGGTGCTGCCATAAACCTCAGATTGATCACACAGCACTGCAAAGTTGGGACAAATACGCCTTCCATGAACAGCTGTTGAGTAGCTGCTGTTGTACTAGAGAGGGCAGGGACAGCCCGTTAAGAGTCAGCCAGAAGCCTCACTTTTTAACGTTGAACTTTGACGATGCAATACAACCGGCTATACTTGACGTTTCGGGTCACATCTTCGGAACATGGGTTCAGCATGAGGCCACTTTGGGCCTGCTCCTTTCCCTGAAGCATTCAACTTCTTTTTTCCTTTGCTTCCAAAACTGACGATTGCTATAAATGTGACTTCCCCACTTGGGCAACTACTGTACAGCTCTTACATTCTCCAAATTCTGCCGCTGCGGTTCATTGGTGCGGGTGGTGATCGTCGCAGAGCAACATGATGAATAACTGATGCTTTTGAACATGACTAGGTCAATACCACACCTCATGACTCTGCTGCTTGAGATCGATTTACAGGCTTGCTTTTTGGGGAATATTTTGCACACAAAAGGATTTCTCCGAAGCTGCAATGGGTGTCCTGTGGCACCAGGCCATCTCATCTGCAATGAAGCACTTCAACGAGGAGCACCTCTCGTTGATCTCGCATTGAACACATCATAATACACATATCCATCAGACCAACAAATGAAAGTATATACCTGCAAGCAGTCGAGCGCTCAGGGAAGCTGGTCCGTCCATAAGCGCACCCAATGTCAGGAATGCTTGGTGAAGAGTGTCGCAGCTTGGCGATTTGTGCGGGACACAGACCGAAGTGCGTGCGAAGTGCCTCGTGTTTCCTCGCGGGGCCATACCTCTGGAGCACGTCTGAGGTGGTGGAGCGCTGGTTCGACGTGGAAACCTTCACGGAGTTTCCCTTTGACACCACATGAGGCGACCAAGGAGACCAATCAGCCACTTCGCCTGCTGGTTCGCGGCTTCAAGACGAGCAGTTGACAAAGGGGCAATGTGGGGCGCAGAAGCATCAACTATCTTCAAGACGATGACACCAGCTTGTTCGTTTGAAGCGACGATTGGAACTTTGTTTGCTGAATTGGGTTCATCATTGGATCTGGCATGAGAGCCAGGCAAACTTTGCATTTCAGGGACGTGGAGGAAAAGCAGATATGTGGCAGATGGCCATCAACCGTCGCTTTCAAAGACAGTCATGGCGCCGTGAATCGCTCCTGGGCTTTTGCATCTTCGCCATGAACTGCCAGCATAAGCAGAGCAAGAGACTGTTGCGCATGTGCCAAAAGGTTCGAGTGGTTGTTCAGTTCGCAAAACTATACATCCTTGTGTTAAGACCTAGCGAAAACAGACATGCAAGACTTCAATCTAAACTGCGCCAGAAACCTTCACAACTAGGAGTTGGGCGCCATGGGTCATGGCTATGGCATCACGCTCCCATACCAGGACAGTGAATGAGTAATGAGTTTCAACTTTCTCATCTGAACACACCTAGGCTGGCGGCTTTCCCATGCTCTTGCATGACCTGCGCTTTCATATCCAGGCACAAGCTCCCCTCCCGGGATAGTAAGTTCAGCACCTTTCTTCTTGGGCATCCCCAAAGAAACAGATTCACCACGCGTACTGGGCATTCTTGCAAATGTTTCCTGAATTTGCGAAACGGGCATGAAGACAGAGTCCTCACTTGCTTAGGTTTGCAATCTCATGGAAATACAGAGGCCGAAAGATCTTGAATGTTCTGCTCCCAGTCGCAGAAGCCAACACCCAGCAGATTGTGGAAGCTTCTGGCTCTGAATCAGGTTTGAGGAGGGGAACGGGGTGTTTGTTTTCTGATCAAGGCCCGGAACCCGTGGATGTGATCATGGCAGATGCACAGGACCTGAGTTAAAGAGAAACAACGAGCAACACCCTCACCCCGAAGTGCATTTCTCATGCTCTCTATATGGTGCTGATGATGTTTCTTGGGGTTGGCCCGTCTGGGTGCTTGGTGAGGACCTAAGCAGAAAGAGCCCTGCCAACCAACGTGCAGGAACTCAGCTCTGCTTAGCATCCTTTGATTGTTTTAGCGTGCGGCAGAAGCCAATGAACAATTCCGTTCGCGTGTTGGCCTAGGTGAAGCGAAGAAGCGCAGCAAAGGATCTCGCGCCAAGCAAGGCAAGTGACGTTTTTGGAATACCAAAGACTTTGACATGGTCAGACTTTGCAGAGCGTCAATGCTTTTATGAAGACATATGAAGACCAACTCGAGACAACTTCAAAGGAAGACAGGTCTAATGCTGATTTCTGTGCAGGTCAAGATTCTGAAATTGTTGGAGTAGGCGCTGCATGTGCGCAACTGGGCATATGGGCTTTGACCTTTCAGGACGCAGCGGTTTCATGGCCATTATAGCCGGGGTGGTCTCCTTCAAATATTTTATGCAGACAATGTATTGACATGAATCTTTTGATTTTAAGATCTGGAAAGGAAATCATGCTGGGCCTTGGCATGCTGAAGGCCGGAGGTCGGAGCTTCAGAGGGCCCAGACTTCATTCACAAAAGGCTGGCTTCATGCAAGACTCCCGCCTCCTCCCGAGGTACTTTCTTCTTCCGCTTTGGCTGGCGGGGACGTGGGGTGCAAGAGGAACATTGGTATCGGGAGGTCTGGAGTTCAACCAGTGACTGACTCGGTAAACATTCTATTGACCACAAGGCCATCATGCGCCTCTTGGGGCTGGTGCTTGCTTACTTCGATGAGGCCATGTGGTCACGTCATTGTTGAGCATCAGTGAGAGAATCAAAGTTATTTCTTCTATAATCAATGTTGACAGTATCAAGGGTTGCAGCCGTCCAGCAGCTGCAGGTCTTTCCATTCAAGTCCGAAATTTACCACCAGGTTCAGTTTCTGTGGAACCTACTCTTGCAATTTGTGAGTGCAAGGACTGCAATCTTTGATAGGCAGATCCCTGTTTCTATGTGATCGCTGCTGGATTCCGTCGGCAAGGAGGGAGCACTTCATGCACACCCCGATTAGTCTTGGAACAAGGCCGGTTGGCTGGACCAGGTTATATCGATGCCGATTTGGAGTCACGGTATCACCCACAGCAACTGGATTGATTGCCAAGATCGGCATAGTGTTGAGCCTGGTTGACCGCTGAGATCCGCCAGCTTCAGGTTGAGCTCTGCCATTCAGAAGATCATCATTTGCCAAGCTTATGAAGATCTTCCTGAGTGGCTTGGCCATGAAGATCCGGGCAAGATCACTCAAGTGACTGCTTGTTGCTGCTTACTGCTAACACAACAGATATTAGTATGGGTACAGATTATGTACTCACCATCCGCCAGCTCCAGGTCGATGTCCTTTTCAAAAGAAGGGAAGAGCACTCACATGTGCAATATACATTATGGTTGTGTATAATAAATCATTTATGTAAACATCATCATCATCATCATCATCTTCTTCTTCTTCTTCTTCTTCTTTTCTTTCTCTACGCTCACCGTGCGGCGATGGCGTGGACCCGTGGCTGGTTTCAGCCGGTCCGCCAGTCCCGTAGGACCTTCAACCAAAACGAGTTCCGAGCAGCAGCGCGAGCGTCGATGTCTGAGCTCGATGCTGCTGTGTGGACCTCAGGAGCAAATGCAGGCAGGCAAACTGCCTAAGACAGGCGCAGGAGTGGTTGTCCCGCTCATCTGCTGTCAACCTCTGGTAGGGTTGACAGGCGCACCATCGTGTTGCCGGCGCAGCTGCTTGAAAGCGCTCTGCACAGGTCTCCTCCAGGGGCTCCGCCATGGTCCACAGCTCACTGTGGTGAGAGGCCAAGTGAGCATTCATGTTCGCCGGCCAGGTTTGGCAGAAGAGACATTTCTTGACCAATCTGTGGCAGAGCTCTGGGTTGTTGACCAGGATCTGGGTGTCGAGAAGATCCAGAGCTTGAAGCCATTCCTGAAACCAGGGATCTCATGCTGTGGGGTCTGTCTTCACATTCTGAATCTGTTCATCCCTGGATAGAGTTGGAGCCTCATCTGCTGGAAGTGATACGAGTTCCGCACCTCCATGGGGTGTGCATTTCAGCCACAGCATGCATACGTTCTCCAGGATCACTGGTGGGAGCACCCGGAAGGGCTGGGGGTCGTCGGAGTCGTTGTAGACCCACCAAATGCCATCATGCATGAGCGCTGAGACATAGTGTCCAGACATTGAGTCCTGACCTAAGTGGTATGCCCAAGCACAGACCTCATACGGTATGTTGTCCAGTTCCAACCTCAAGCCAATGAAGTGAGGGATCCACACCTTAGAACTCCAGTGAACACGAGTCCGGCACTTCTGACCAAATGAGTCAAAGCGGTCCAACTGGATGCAACTAAGGTCTGCTGGACTGACCAGGGCGTGTAGGCCGAAGCTGGCCATGCTCCAGCTTGTGAGAAGCGCTTGCAAATCAGAGGATCCGGCTTGTTTTTTGCTACCTCTCTGCGAGCTCACGTAAAGGTCGTTTTGGTCAACAACCTTCACAATTCCATCCTGTTCAAGCCTGGATTCCCAGCAGCAACTGAAAAACATCGGATTCAACAGCTGAAGGATGTGATGTGAGAAGTCAACAACATCGTGCTGGCGAAAGGGATCAGGCCAGTCTACCAGGAGAGATGTGAACACCCCCGGAAAGTTGGACCATTGGTCCTCACAGTCCATTGACTTGAGATGCACCCCAAACCAGGCCTGTCACTACAGCATTCATGTAGCAAGCTGAGGATGGATTCTGCAGCGTCTTCTGAGGAGGCTTGGCTTCAGCATCGCTCATAGTGTCTCGAGCATGCGTCCAAGGTGCTGAGCAAGAGGAGTCCTTTGCATCGTGGCTGGTCTCATCCTGGCCAGAATGAGTTGCCATAGTCCCGTGTTGGCCAGTTGGTGCCAAAGCCCTCGCAATTCGTTCGAGTAGGTGTGGGTCAGGGCCAGAGTCACTCTCCATGGAATGACCACTGAGGGGTTCTCTGAGTCCGTCCCGACAAACAACCTTCTGGATCTGATGGTTTGGTCGAAGTGCATGGAACCTCTTGATCAGGGCTTCGTTCTGAAGGTGTCAACATCCTCTGCAAGGTGTGTAGTGCCAAGGAAAGTGACACTTGTGCATCTGGCAAGGCTTGAATCTCGTTCTTGGCATGGTCCCACTTCATCCGTGGGAAGATGTAGGGCTCCTTCTGATCCTCCCCCAACTGGAGGAATGTGAGTGTCACCAGCGTCTGGATCAAGGGATCCGACAAGTCTGTTGATTGCAGCTTGAGTGTCCGGTTGTGGAGCTCCTCCAGCATTGACTTCAGAATCAGGATCCTCAATGGCTGACGCCAGTCCGATGTCTTTGACATCATCAGCTTCAGAATGGATCCTGGACCTGCGCTCAAAAAAACGTAGAAGTCCGTCTCCATGGCCAGGCGCTGTAGGCTGTCTTCGTGTCGTAGCACCAGTTTGGACAGTGTTTGCAGGATTGTTTTTGAATCTGGTGTGGATTCGTCCTTGACGTTCTGCATCTTCGCCTGTCCTTTTCTTCCTTTTCCTTTGCCCTGGAGGTCCGCAATTTGCAAAAGCAGTGGACACTGAGCAGCAGCGGGATGTGATTCACAAATGGAGCATGCTTGCTGTCTCTGTTGGAAGGACGTTAAGTACTTGTAGTACAAGCTGCCTCTGTTGCTATGTTTTGCATGTGTGTTCCAGAGATGTTGCAAAAGATCTCTACGATCAACCTGTCGACCACAGAGACTGCACCAGGAGCTGAGGGCTGCGCAGAGTTCATGGTCATGAAGCAGAGACTCAAACTGACTCCTCGTCAGTTTGGAGTCTAGCTCAGGAAAGTTCAGCTCCAAAGGTAGGGCTGAGAACCTGAAGATCCAGCTTCAGAGCATGAGCGAGCACTGTTCCTGCTGAGGCTTCTCTGAACTTGGTCAGGTCATAGTGAACAAAGAGAGCCAGTTGCGAGAAGACCGTACACATGTGGTTGAGCTGGAGGACGAAGGCAGGTGCGTCCAGCATTTCGAAGAGCACTTAGTGGTCTGAAGCCACTCAGCATAGGAGGTGATCGAGTCCCATTGTCTCCCGTGTGTGGTGCTGAGATGCCGCATGAGAGATTGGTAGAGCTCGTGGATTGTAGACCACATAGACCACAGATGTGGTCAAGTCTCCTCAGGAGGGATTTGTAGCCAGTCATGTGATCGAAGGTTCCCCCGTGAATTCCCGTAACAATGACTGGATGATGCCATAGCAGAGGAGGATCATCAGGAAGAGGTGCTTGACAGTGTCCTCCGTCAATGTGGTGCTTTAGAGCTGCAAGGCAGAGAAACTCCTGGTCACAGTGAGAGCATTGGTTCCGTCCGGGAATCTGGTCCCGATCCGCCATGAAGGTCCTGGCAGTGGTCGTGTGAGGATGCTCAAGTGCTTGGTGTTGATGAAGTCCTGCCATAGTGACAAACTTCCTGGGGCAGGAGGCGCATGAAAATTGGGCATCCATCCGTTGCACTGGTTGTGGAACCGGTGGAGGGCTGTCCGGGCAGTCAGCTCTATGTCGTCGATCAGCTAGAGCCAGACCAAGTTGCTTTTTGACACAAAGTTCACAGGGAGAAGGCATTCTGGCTCGAGTCACGTTGGGGAGGACTTCACTCATCAGGTTGTAGGCCTCCGGATGATCTCTCCCCACGTGTGCAGACATCTGTTGAAGTCTTGCAGACCAGAAGCCACATAGTATGCATCTCTGAGAAAGGAAGTAGCAGAGCTCCCTGTCCTGTCGAAGTGGTTGAAGTTCTCCTTGATCATGATAGGCCAGGAGCTGACGTCGATGAGCCTGGAGTTGCTCTGGCGGTGCCTTAGATGAATCAAAGCTGGGACATGCGTAGTTCTGGATGTGATGTGTCAAGTTCTGCCAAAAGATGAACGAATCACCACAATGGTTTGCCATTGACCGAATCTCTAGCAATATCCAGTGTTGGACCAGCTGTTGGAACTATTCCGTGAGAGTGCATCTCGTGACGACGAAGCGTGTAAAGACGACGAAATGTCAGACCACATCTCGAGCAGTCTAATTTAGCTTCGCAAGGGGGAGAGATGGAGCGAGGTCATAGTCATCCAGGTCCTGCAGCCAGATGTTGGTGAGATGAAGAGAGATCTGCATTCCTGTTGTATCAATGTCACGAACAACGTCATCGTATGCAAGTTTTCCAAGTCTGGCCTCGCGCCGGGATAATTGCGCTGCCATGCGGTCCCGTAGCAAAACAACTGGACGTCTGAGATTGTATCCAGTGAGAAAGTCTGCATGTTTTGTGTGTGAGATGAATTGGTGATCTCTCATCACCTGTCGTAGTTGTGGAAGGGTTGTCTTCGAGAACTGCGGAAGTGTGACGTGATCAACACCAGTGGAGTCCAGCCCATATAGGGCAACGGGTAGAACACACGTTTCCCACAAGGACAGCTTCTGAGCCACGTGAATCGATGAGTTGCAAAACCATGGTTTCATCTGTCGATGTCGATGTGTATACTCTCGACTAGTGACAAAGGAGTTGTAAAACGTATGGTGGGTTTTACAACTCGTTTGTCATGGGTCTTAAAGCATTTTTGAGCAATGTACACAACTCCTATGTCATTGACTTTAAAGTAGAGAAACACATCAAAACATGGTCACACAAGAATAGCTTTAAAAAAACAGAAAGCTGCCGGAAAAGATTAATAAATGACGGAGATAGGAGTTGTAAGTACCAGGATGAGCAGGCCGATTCTTATGTCATCAGCTGGCGACAATTCCCAAGTCATGAGGCTTGAATCAGCAACTCTGCAATTTTTGTGTTCAATGACTTAGGAGTAGTGGGCCACAACTACTATCTCACTGGCCCACGCAAGTCCTAAGTCGCCGGTCGGTAGTATACATGCTTTCAATCTCTTCTGCATTGTTCCCCGCAGCATTTGCTTGTATCCAACAGAAATTCCAAGGTAGTCTTGTTGCTCTCTCAAGGGAATCTCATACTGAGCGGTGTGCTCTTTTGGAATCCGAAGCAGTGTCCCACGTTGAGACTGTTTCACATAAGCCTTGGTAGCTTGTGTTCGAGATGAACCATGCCATTGGATGATTGCCGCTGATTTGGACTTGTTCACCGTCATACCCAGGCGTTCCAAAATGTTGATGAGTCGACCAAAGAAGGTGAGTCCTTTGTGAAGTTCATCCATGTTATGAAACACAAAGCATGCTTGACCATCATCAGCGTAAAAAGTGCAGTTGTTCCTCATCCAGTGAACATCCGTTTCTGCGGCCACATGCTCAAGGATCAAGGCAATGAAACATGCCCAAAAAAAGGGCGCGCCTCGGCATCCTTGACGGATGCCTCTGAACATTGCTTGTTCTGCTTCCAGACCCTTCCATTGTACAATGTATGCTGTTTCGGTGTGCCAGGTGAGAAGCAACAAAATGATGTTGTCAGGAAACTTAAGTAGTCTGAAAGCATCCCAAAGGTGTTCACGAGGCATGGCATCGAAGGCCCCGGTGAGATCGAGAAAAAGTTGGCAGCCTCCATACACCTTGGGACCGCTGGTGCATTGGCACTATATTTCCAGCGAGCCAGCATGGATTGAACCTCACGAACATGAGCTGTAACTCTTGCAATTGCTTCCCATGTACCGCGGCCAGGAAGGTAAGCAAACTGTGGATACCAGACCAACCCAGGAAGAGCAAAGTGCTTGGCATGTTGCACAAAAAGAGACATGATCGTTTTCGATAGCGGAGTTTGAAGTGCAATTGGTCTCAAAGCTTTGGGCTCTGTGGGAGGCTTGTTTGGCTTCGGAAGTAATACAACCCAGCCTCTGCGCCATTCCGCAGGAATGACCATGAGGCCTCCGGATTTCCCGTTGGAGCCGCTATGGATGTAGGCAAAGTGATGATCTGACCAGTCACCACTGAAGCCCCACCGTGTGTCCTGAGTGAGCAAGATGTCCAGGTGTTGAGAATGCGTCCATTGCCGGAGTATGTCAAACTTGTAGGTGCTCAGGGAGCTAATACTCCAGCTGAATCCAGTTCCGGATCTTCGCTGGTGGTGGAGTAGACATGGAGTGGAAGTGGTCGTCCTGGAAGCGGTTGGAGGAGGCAGAGGCTCCAAGCATGGCCGCTGCGAAAGTTTGGCCCCTGTACCAGGTATGTCCATGAAGTTGGGCTCGTTTGAGTGCGCGAGTGAAGGATTTCTTCTTGGGACGAGGCTGTTTGCCGTCCAGGCGTATTGATTGAGGTCCTGGGCCACTTGGCTTCGCCTTAGAAAGGGCATTTTGAGCTTGTATTGAGATGGCTCCACTGGGTCCCGTGGCAGACCCAGAAGCCTCGGGCCTCCAGGGTGGAGCCAAAGGATTCAAAGTGCTCTGGCTGTTCACAAAGTACGGCAATGCAACGAACCAGTAGGCCTTGTCCAACCCTGTCCGGCGACTTGGGAGCCTGGTGAGCAGGAGATGAGGTCCCCGCTGGTGCTTGTGGTCTCCTTGTCCGTGATCGTTGCCAGGTTCCGGTAGGGCGGATCAGGTAGGTGAAATTCTCCCAGTGCATCCAAGAGATAAAGGCAAGCACGGTCAAGAAGAGCAGGATGTAGTAGCTGAAGATGTAATCTTGGAAGGATGTTGGGCAATGTCCCGGTTGCCGAGGAAGTCAATCAGCGAGGATCAACTTTGGGCTGCCCATGAGGAGGGACACGGTTCCGCACTGTCCCTGCGGCACCGTGGGCAGTGGGGATTGAACCGCTCATGGCCCTTATCATCATCATCGTCATCATCATCATCATGTCTGAATTTTCTGCTGGCGGGGGCATCAGAAGTGGTGTCCATTTCGAGTAGTAGCAGCAGCCAGACAAGGTGTATTGAGACGCTTGCAGAGTTCTCCACCCCTGAGAATCATCAGCGGATTGACGAGGTTTGCGCCGGACTTCGCCAGGTTTTTTTTCTTATCTATTTTTTGAAGCCCGCGTTGCCCGCCCTTACTCAATTAGACGCCTACTTAATTAAGTACGGGCTACTTACAGTAATTGGCTAGCTGTTACTACCTACTGGACGCAGGATAGCTCACGGAAAAAAATACTCTTGCCAGTGCGAGGTCCTTCTGTCAGAGCGCTCATGTAGTTGAAAAACAAGAACATATTGCATTTCTCACCGAAGGATTTCGTTTGTAGCATTGCAGCGGAAACACGAAATTGAAGAGCTTTTGCCCTCGGTTGTCGTTTTGTTGTGTAGTTCCTGCTACGGGTTCGGGGCGACTGTTGCTTGGCTTGGCTTTAGCTGGGAGGCAGTGCCTTTTTTGTTGTGGACTCCAGTGTTCTCCGAGCATTTTGACAGGTTATTAGTTAGTTATTGGTACACTATTAGGTTGGAGGCCATAGCTAGTAGGTTGGAGGCCATCGTTATTAGGTTGGAGGTCATTGCTTCTAGGTTGGAGGCCATCGCTATTAGGCCAGAGTGAGCCACTTCCTGGTGATGCAACACATGCTTTTCATAAATTTTCATGAAGAAGCGTGAGCTATCCTGCGTCCTACCTAGAAGCTATCTAGTAGCTAATGGCTACTAATCCTGCTTTTCACGTTACTACTAGCTTCATGTTACTACTAGTAAGGCACCTGTTACTACTAGCG